AAAGGATCATCAGGGTACTTAAATAATACAGAGAGAACTCATGACCAGCAATGCAGATGCAATGAGAGTTTCCAGCATGAATGTTCTTTTTTTCTTATAGACTAGTATGTCATAATGTAAAATTGTTGTTGTTGGAAATTAGCTCACTGTTAGTGTCTAGGTTTGGATTCTGCCTCAGAGGAGAGAGCAGGCACAGCTGTGTAAATGGCTTCTTTCAGCGTCTACCTTTGATACCTACTGCCTTAGATGTGATAACTCTCATTTCTAGTGGAATGTAGTAATGCATAGATTATATAGTTTGATGTTTTAAATGAAAAATTGAAATCCACCACCAGAATAAAGTAGCTTTTATGTAATTTTAGAATTTTCCATAGAAAAATGGGTTGGCTCATATTTTAATGATTTTTTTTTTCCTATATGAAGCATCTTCCTGTAAACATCAGTTACTAGAAGAAAAATTAGTTGGGAAGCTTTTCAGTTTACTTCCAAAAGATTTTCTGTCTTATGGTTGAGATCACTTCTTTCTTCATCTGTAGAAGACAAACAGTGGGCAGGGTGAGAGGTGGTAGAAAAAATGACAGTTTTAAGCTTCTAATTCTTGTTTTTATTTCTAAGCTTAAAAACTGTTCTGATGGATGAGTGTTGAGTGTGATTTCCGATTAAGGGAGCACAAGTTTCTGAATGATTCTGTAATCATCTTCATGTGTCTTTAAAAAAAAAACAAATGAAAAAAACCCCAGTAAACAATAAAACAGATACTGAAGGGCAGGAGTATATCAGTCAGTCTGTTGTCCACTGAGACCTCTAGCAAATCTGCTCATTCTCTGTATAAATGTTTAGTGCTTCAATGTTTTAATGTTTTCTTGAATGATTTGAAAGACAAAGTAGAAAGCACATATGACATCTGCAGATAATACAAAGCTAGAGTGCTGCAGCAGCTGGAAGAATATCGAGAATTATGAATTGATCTAGAGAGCAGCAATGTGCAAGTATTTACAAAATGTAGCTCACCTTGGAAACTATAGTTGTGTTATATGTAAAATTAGGTTGGTGAGATGTTAAATTTTGTAATTATGTAGTAAGCAAATTCTATTTCTCTGGATAGCTAATCCAGTTAACTGTTTCTTAACAGTATCTTGGTCTTTAACCACTTCTACTGAATCTTCCTAGAATTGTTTCCAGTTTCAGTACTGTGGTTTTGGAGATGACGGACAAATAACTGGACTATTTCTTGGTGTGCAATATGTGGAAAAACTAATGGCCCATTTTTTTATTACTTCCCCCCCCGCCCCAACATTCATTTTTAATAGAATTCTGCCTTAATCAGTGCTGCAAATTACATGTCTACTCCAAATTCCAGACCCTTGGATGTAAAAAGTCCACTATTTTGTGCATCTGCTCCTTCAACAGTTTGCTTTGCATTTTGGGATTGCAGCAAGACTCCAGAGCAAAACCATCCTGAGATTTCATTTTCTTTACCTTGTTTTATGAATGGCTTGTGCTTTACCTTGGTGCTTGGAAATTAAATGTATCTGGCTGCCATTAGGGCTTATCAGCACTAAGCACTGGGCTGTTTAAAAAGGTGAATGCCTATCAGTTGTAATTTGCTCAGATAACAACGTTACTATTGTTAGTGCTAACTTTTCTGTTTGTTAAATAGGCAGTGTAATAGCTTGTTCTAACAAATAATACCATGTTGAAGAAACAGCCTAAGAAGACTTTATGGTGCACTTTGTATAGCATTCCCTGTGAAGGAGAAAAGACAAAACTACATATCTGATATCATGTTAATTTTGGTTTAATTAGGGCTGTATCTAAACATCCCATGTTTTTTCTGCACTGAGGTGCTGCAGATAGCTGCAATGTAACCTGGATAATTCATTCCTACAACTATTCTAAGTTAAGACTAGATGACTGGGTGAGGGGAAAAGATACAGATGAATACTTGTTTTGCAGGAGCCTTATGATTTTTTTTTCTTTTCAGTTGATATGTGAGCACTCACCTAATAAATTTAAGCGTTCTAGTGATGGGATTGCTTTGCTTACCTTTTGTGGGCCTCCCATAAGTGGTCCACAGATTGTATGTGTAAGACACAGAAAGCAGTACACTGAAGTTTAATGCAAGAAGTACATAATAGTCAATTTCTTTGTATAAAGACTGAATAAAAGACTAAATTAAAGACTAACCACTGCTGTGTTAGACTTTGATGTCAACACCTAAAAAGATGGCCAAATTCGTTGTGTCCTTTTTAGCAGTGTGGCTGATCTGTCCAGCACCTCCTCTCTGTTGGCTCACACGTTAGCAGCGGCTCATCAGGCTGGCGTGCATCTCTTACTCTGCTCTTTGCAGTGTGACTTCTACTCCTCTCCATTTTGAGGATTCATCAAATAAAGGTAGCATACTCAAAAGCCTGACATATCAGCTTTTATGAAAAGGATGTTTTTTTTGCTGACACATTTTCAGAAGAGATCCATGAAGATGAGGATGTATTTAGTGGTTTTAAAACTCTGTGTTGCACTAGGAGTATCAGTGTATGTAGTGTATTGAAGTAAGAGGCTGAACTGATGTTTGTGTATAACTGCAGTTGCTTTTGAACTGTCTGATGTGTGTTTGGCATGATTTTGGTTGTGAGTGGAATCAGTCAGCTGAAACCTATTGCTATTCGCTTTAACCTGGTTTAAGGTTATTCATATTTTATTCTTTTGGGCTGAATAAGCTGTAATTTAGACAATGGGGCTTTTTTGTCCTGATTAAATCTATTTGCCTATGCCATGTCTCAGTTGATTGTATTACAAGCGTAAGACAAAAAGATGTACTCTTCTTCTTATGTCCTCCACAGTGTAAGTAGGAGATTGTGTTGCCGTTTATCTGTGCTACTGTGTTTCTCTATCTCTGTAGCTAGTATTCAAGTGTGGCATGAATTCTTTATCCATATGGTGTGGTGGTGGCTTGTAAGTGATGAAAAACAGTTTCCTTTACGTAAATGTCGATCTTTGTTAATGCTGTCAAACAGCAAGTGTGATATCCAGGGAATACATATCACTCTGTGGCTTACTGATAATGTAATCTAATTTCCAAAAATAAATTAAATGCATCTTTTCATCTGTAGCCATCAGATGTATGTAAACTAAAGAAAAACAACGTGTTCGAGATAGTACGTGTGAATTTGCAACAAAGATCAATAGCTAATTTGAAATTAAACCTTTGGGTTCTCTACATTTTCTGATAAATTAACTGTGCTAAAGAAGCTCGTAATGGTGTGATGTGTTGTTGCAGAGACTTCCACTGATAAACTAAGTTGAAGGACTATTGTTTCAAACAATGCCTTTAAAATCTTTATGAGCAATTTTTAAAGACATTTTTCAGAAAAACCTTAAGTATAGTAGCAGTAAACTTCACTTTTGAAAAAGTGCTAACAAATGCTACATTTTTTTTCACTATTGTGTTTTATTTATTTATTGCCCAAGTAGAAGAAACTAAGAGGAGGAGAAAAAAATTAGTGAAATCGTGTTTCTGATTTTAATATGTGAGGTGCCATGATAGAGAGAGAGCTCTTTGCTAGCAGATACCCACTTTAAAAAAAAAAAAAAAGATGATGTTGCTTTACAGCAGCTGTATCAGTCTTTTTAATAATTACAGGGTGTGAGAGAAGACCCCTTCTCCTTCCGCGTACCCCTCATCAGTTTGGTGTTTCTGCAGGCATTGCCAATCAAACCCAAGTAATTTTGATGCCTCTTTCCTGAAAGATCTGCTTCTGCTAAAGTTTAAGTTGTCCAGAGTCTGGATGGTGTCATTCAGCCCACTCTTCTCTGGATCTGCTTCCTCAACTACTTTTCTGTCAAGCCAGGCAAATGATGGTGCTTTGAGATGGGGAGAGGCATTAGACAAGCCCCCTACGGCTTTGGTAGGCTCTGTCCGCTGTAGAAGTGTACCTTGAGATACTTCAGATTCCCCATCATCTATCTACTCCAGAGCACCAAAGTCAGGTCCTGCATTGTGGGTTGGCTTCTCTTAAGATAATGTGTGTGACCCTTTTCAAGCAGCCTTAATGTGCTTCAGTTTTCTCAGACTGCCTTGTTGAATATTTTTGTATCTGCATCCACTTTTGCATGATTATAGTTTAACTGATAATATTTTGTGTGTGTGGCTGAGCTATTCCTTCTTTAACACGATAGAAGCAACAGCTTTCTGTTGTTTCTGCCAGACCAGACAGAACAAATCTGTTCAGACCTCCTGTGTATCCTGTACAGCATCCTCATTGCTGAAGAAATACAACTGTTCATTACAGATCACATCATTTAATGTCATTGAATTATTGAGGCTATCTGTTTAATTAAAGGACTTCTTTTATTATTAAGAACTTGCTGTCTGAGCGCTGAAGAGGAAGGCTTGCAGACTAGTTTTCAGCTATCAGGTACATGCAAGTATTGTAGAGACATTTGTAGTGCTACTTTAAATCAAAGGTAATTACTGTTCCTTTGTTTTATCAGTAATGTTTATGTGATTGTATTGCTTCTGTGTGTACTAGAATTGGGCAGATGTCGAGAACGTGTTAGCAATACCATTAAGTTTTTGTTTCCTTTGGTTCTGCATTTCATAAAAAATGCCTTTTATATGAAACCTGTGGTTACACTGTCCTACTACTGATCTTGACTGATTTGTACTAGAGCAGGTTGTTGCTATATCATGTGAAACTTGCTGCAGAGAATCACTTTTCCTACTCATTAGAAAGTACGTTAGTGCTTACATCCTATGTCTATTGAATAAGTGACGATGAAGACATGTTGCATAAATAATTAGCGTGTAGATTATTCCACGTATTCAACAATACTTCTTGTGACAAATTCATTACATCACTTTGAGCTCGAGCTCTCCAGTTCAAACTGGAGAAATACTGTAAAGTATTTTGCTCATTAGGTATATATTCAAGTTTGTTGGAGCGATGTTTGGTGATCTTTCTAGTACAAGTGAAGGAACTCATTCTTTCCTTGTGTCTTAGTTTAGACTTGGGTCTCTGAAGCTACAGAAAGTTTCAAGTCCGGAGGAGGTGATTAAGGAGCTGATTGGTTACTGTCTGGACTGCCTGGGGAGACTGCAGGTGAGAAACGAGCATCTACAAAAAGAAAATGAAAGACTTTTCAGCAACTGGAGCGACGTGGAGAAACGGTAAGTTTAAAGTTCATTTACAGGTGGTATTGAGAAGCTCACAAATACTTAGACTGTCCGTGCAGACTTTACTGATGAGCACTTCTGAAGCCATATACAGAGAGGAGCACACAGATTTTTCTTCTCTTGACAAGTATTTTGAACCCAGTTATCTACAGCCCATGTAGGTGTAGATCTCCTTCCTGTGTCAAAGACACAAAAGGTATTACAAGCTTTTCAGTTAAAGCTGGTTTTAGCTTTATGAAGTAGAAAAAATTATTTACCTTTTTTCTGTAGAATTCTCTCTTTTTTCTGGAAATGTTTTTCCTTTCCTTTATTTCTTATAGCTCTTAGGATTAGCAGTTTCATTTAATTACATTTTTGAGTCAAAAATAATTTGGAAATTGAGTGTGTTTTTTATAGGAAAAATACCATTATTTTGTGAGAAACTTTTATAATTGGCATTGCATTTATGATCTGAATTATCTGCCACTGCGTTCTGTAGTGAAAATATTCTATGCTTATCTCAGCATAAAGCACTTAGCACATACAAGTCAGATATTTATCTTTGTTTTCCTATTGCTTTATCTGAAGGCACACACTGAGGACAATTGATGATAGAATGTGGCTAACTGGCATTAATTTACCTCAGAAAATGGAGCTAACATTTGGGAGGAGTTAGTTTTGTTTCACTCTCATTAAAATGAGTAACAGTTTCTCCTGACAATCTCCCTGACAAGCATATGGTCTTCCTAAGTAGTGTTTTACTGCTTAACAGTTTATTGAACAATAGTGTTTTGTATAACCAGTGTGCTGTAGTGCTTACACGCTAATGTGTAATAGGCATTAGTGCTTGTATCAATTTCCATGGTGGTGTGGCACTTTTTAAAAAGAGTAACTCCAAAGAAAAATAGTAGAAGAGAAAAGCCACGGTTGTCTGACAGCCTTTGCTCTCAGAAGCAGTATATTCAAGCTTCAAAAGGTGATAGTTTTCTTTATGTTTATGTTTCAAATACCTGAAACATGTTTTTTCAGAATAAATATTGTAAATTGTACAGTCACCAAACTTTAGCCATGTCTGCTGAATGGAGAATAAAAATAATTTTCATCCAAGCAGTGATGGGTTTATGATTTGCGTTTGTTTGGGTTTTTTAAAGTCTTTTTGCCACAGCTTAGTCTACCCTGCTGTCTCTTTGTGCTCTTTTGGCTCCAGATGCTGAACCTAGTGTTCTGAGTTTCTTGGAGCTGAACAAAAGCTTTGCCTGTCTTTGTTCGATAGGCAGGATTTCAGGCTTCACATTCTGTATCACTTGCAGTGTTGAGTGGTAAAACATCAAATGTAAAGCATGTGATATCGAGGATTGTGCTTCCTCTCTGCCTGAAGCTAAGGCACATCAGCCCCAGAGTTTCAGCCCCTGCAGTTCCCTTTGCTTAAAATCTCTCTCTTCAGGACCTCATTAGAATTAAAATATAGCATGCAGACTGCCCAGAGCTGTTTTGTTCAGTTTAACCATGAAGCACGGGATGGACTAATTCAATCATCCCACTTCCATTTCCCTACTCTAATTTTCTTCACCATCATGAAGTTTTTGTGCTCACCAGCTTTGGCCTGTGGCTCTCTCAAGGTATAAACTCATTTTGGTTTCGATTCAGTCTGTAAAATGACAAGCAAGTTTGATTCAGGAGGCTGAATCTGCCTGGCAAGCGATCTGTAGGCTGAATACCAGCCCTGATCTGCAGCTGGCAATTCCTCAATATACATGGTCGTTCAGCTGTAAGTGGCTTGCTGTGCCAGGTACAGAAATACCTCCTGCACTCTGAAATTCAGGTTCATGAAAAGGTGGGAGCGGACCAAAAATTCCTTTGAAGAGAAATCCCCTGCATGATCAAACTGTTAAATTCCTTATGCGCAGGAATCTAAGCTGTGTAGTGTCTGAGGTGTCGACAGTGTCTTAGACTGAATCTGTAACTCCCTTAATTTTTATTGTCTTGCCTGTTGTGGTGACCCAGCTGTGGGATTTTACCTGACTGTACATTTTACAGCTTTTAGGACATTACTATATGTATGTGACATCAGTATGATGTGTCATTGGCTAGCTAGACCGTTCAGCACTTGATCTAAAAACATAAATAAGAATTACTAAGATTCTATCTGACAAGATCTAAATAGGGAAGCTATGGAAATTTTCAAAAGGATTATTCTGAAAATACTGCAAGTGGGTGCCTGGAGGTGAGTGAGTGTGTGTGTGCACACCTCAGGGACAGATGACTTGAAATATCAGGGCAGAATAGCTATTGTTTTTGTTTCATATAGATAATTAAGATGAAAAGTAATAATAATCTTTAGCAAAATAATTCCTTGGCCCATAAACCACAAGTTAAATTTCTGATCTGGGTGTGGTATGTATTTTGTATCAAACATCTAAAATTTGTGTAGACAAGCCAAAATATCATTTAATTTATGTTGTGGTCAACTTTAGCGACAATATATTTTAACCACAAACAGCTTATAAAAATGCAGGCCTTGTAGTTTGGTGCTTGAAACTGATGCTTCAGCATTAGCTCATCAGGATTCAATACCATTGCCAATGTTGGGGGAAGGGTGAATCTGAAATGTAATACAGTGGTGCCATAAGACTAGTAATTTTTTTAGAGCACTAAGGACAAGGACAAATCGCAGAGATGTTGAATTTTTCCTTTCTAGTACTGGAAAAATATATAAATGCCATTAAGTGACATAGTTCTTGTTAACCTCTGTGAAGCGTGTGTGATTGCTCTGCATTTCAGCAGCATTTGAGAACTGGTCAGTTACCTTATTTTCTCAATTACTAGTTGTAACCATTCCTAATACTAGTTGCTTTCAGTAGGCTGTGCAAACTTTCTTATGACTCTCAACTTAGGTGTGTCTGACACATTAAAAGCATTGCCGTTATGTAACAGAGATATCTAAGAATATAAAAATCAGAAAGCACGTGCAAGTAAAACTTGCACCACTCTACCATTAACTTCCATTTTTTTGCGTGTTTCTGAAAGTTGTCTATGAGATGAGCAGCTTCTTTATTTGGCCAGAGGAGGTGGTATGTTAGTGAGACTAATCCCATACAGGCACAAGCATGTGAAGAATTGCAATTAAAGTTTGTATTTGTTACTGGTGAGGTATTGGAAAGAAACTCAGCCAGCTTTGCTTAGTGGTCACGTAATTCAGGTAATGCATGCCTCATTGAATCCTAAAAGCTATGCAGTGTTACACACACACATACATTTGGCATAATTAATGCCTCCCTCTTCCCAAGCAGGAAAAGATTGTTGCTTTTTGCTATTCTGTTTTTATGTATCATCTTATACCCTATGATAGTATATTTTTAAACGCTCATAAGTTGCAAATACAACTGTGATGTAATGCTGTTTTACATTGATTGAATGTTGCGCCAAATTAATATCTTATCCATGTCTGGAGAATGAGTTTATATCTGGATTACTTTACACAACAGGAAAAAAAAATATCAAAAAGATGTTCACTAAATGAAATCTTATAAGGTTAACTGATGGCATACTACTAATTGACTTTTTCTACAGGGAAGAGTTAATATTCTAATCTATGCACATAATCAGTATGTATATTTCAAGATGCTAATATTTTACTCCAGGGACTGAAGAAATTGGCTAGTCTTGTAATAGATTCCTATAGTGTGCTGCCTAATGTCCAGGCAGCACCATCTTAACTTCACAGAGAGTGTACAGTTATGCGGATGTTCATCATTGGATGTCTTTGCAGGGTTCAAGGGCCTCACTGCAGTTATCCTATATGGTACCTTTTTGACCAAGTCACCAAAATATCTCAGTGTAACTGTTTAAAACAATCTCAGCTGCCCTGACACAAACCAGTCTGTTGGCAAAGTCAAGGCATAGTACTAAGCATTTTCTTCCATATTATTTTGTGAGAGGAGACTGGACTTTTCTTTGGACTTGATAAAGACAAGATTACCATATTTTACACAAAATCCTTGTTTTCTGTTTTTATGTATACAAACATAATTAGTTTGAAGCATGTAAATGGCAATTTACCCAACAGCTGTATTTATTTATTTTTATCCTTTTTTTTTTAAATGGCTGAATTCTACTTGATAAATGGGAGGAAGTTCCTGTCCTTACCTTTCTCCTTCCATGAGCTGGTCAAGGGTACATTGCATTAAGGTTGATGATTCTTTGTGAATTGTCTGTTTGTTCCCCAATAAACAGTTAACTTTGCTTTCATAGGTGGAAAGTCTCCTGGTAGTTGATTAGTACATACGATCTTTCATTGAGGAATTATTGAACTGATCTATATGGTAATGATGTTCTGCTATTTGCATTTAAATTAGATGAATTATTTATCAACTATCAAGCATATCCCTAAAGCATTGCACAGTATGCTTAATACTTCTTCTTACGTCACGTATGGTTTTGATCTATGAACAAAATAATCTGTATTTATACAGGAAGTCTGTTGCAATTTCTTATCCTATAAATTAGTATGTTAAAAATCTGTTATGTGTTTAACAACAAAAGAAGCCTTCTAAACTTTTTTACAACCTTGAACAGGTTGATGAAAAGAAGTTTGTAAGTTCGGACTATGTGCTATAAGACTAGTTTCCATGATCACTAAGATTATCAAGATAATTTATTTGTTTGTTACGAAAACAGCTGATAAAATATTTGTGGTTTAACTCAAAAACTAAAAAGTTGTGAAATACAAGAAGTAAATATAAGATTGCAATTGCTATAAGTTGCTTCATCTATTGTGCTCATCTGTGCTTTTATTCCAGTTTTACTTTGCTTAGGAGATAGCATACTTCCATATTCTAAATTTTATATATCGGTTGTGCTTTGCTTTCTTGACATAGACCTATTTACAGGTGCACATTAAACCTTTAAAAACCTGAAGAATATTTACTCTGAAGATATTAAGAGCTTTTAAAACTCTTTTTATATATATATTTTTTGTTTAGTCCTCTACCAAGTAATTGTTCAGGGAAAGTAAAAAAAAAAATCAGCCTAATGGTGGCTGCAAATGTACCAAGATTCCATCTCTGTATTCGTGTAATTCAAAATTAGAATTATTAGCAATGTGTTTGTCTGAGGGCCTGTAAGGGACTAGGGGTTACAGTTGTCAAAATGTGTTGCTGCATTGTCCTCCTGAGCTTTGCCAGGATCTAGTTTCTCCACCTTGCCAGCTCAACAGAGCAAGAGCTGCGAGGCTGCTGATGGAGAGTGCTCAGGCAAGAGTCTGTATCACCCCCATCTGCCTCAGGAATCCTGGCAAGGAACGAGTTTTGGAGCTGCTCCTGTTGCCCAGAGTATTTGCTGATCATCTCAGCCCAATCTAGAGTCGAGTCGCTGATTTCTTATTTCTTTCTTTTGCCCATTCAAGTATTTTTCAAGTCAGAGCGTGTGGTCCAGATTTGAGACCTGTCAAGCTTAATCGTATCTCTTTGTAATCTCATTGTGTGTACCCAGCTAAGCTATGCCCACTATGGTGAGCTCGGCGTTGAAACTAAAGAACACTTGCGTATTTAAATTTTAGATATCTCAGATGCGTGAGTGCAAGCACCAATTGAAAAAGCACGAAGAGAAAATTTTCCTTTCCCCTTTTGGTAGCAAAGTTCCCTGCAGTTTTCTGTGGGGAAAAAAAAAGTTTTCTTCTGGCCTATTTCAGAAACAAGATGCTAGATGAGTTGTGCGTGGTTTTGTGTGGGGATTTCTGTATTAGAAAGACTGGCTTTGCTACAGAATTCTCTTCCAGGAAACACAGAGTTTTTATAAGACATGGTGTAATGGTTAATTTTGCATTGTAGGCTGGAAAAATGTGTGGAAGCTAAAGAAGAACTAGAGGCAGATCTTTATAATCGGTTTATTTTGGTGCTGAATGAAAAGAAGGCAAAGATAAGAAACTTACAGAAGTTGTTGAATGAAGCTAAAGAATCTGCAGCAGATGCCAAAAGTACAAGGTATTTCTTATTTTTTCTGCATTATTTGGTATTATATCTTATGCATAGTTTAGTTTAGTTTCCATTTCTTTGGCCGTAGTGATGATTCTTCCTGGCTATGTGCTTGATTATCCAAAACAATAGTTAGTCATGAAAGCAGAGGATTTTTTGTGGTGTCACTGCAAACAGCAGCATACTGTTTTGGATTCAATGTATTCAATGAATCTGTCCTCTTCCTTCTTCTGTTAGTTTGCAGTTGATTTTTCAGTCAGATTACATCTCAGCCATTTCCGTAGGTGGTACTTGCATATGCATTCTCCCTGAATTACTTGATTTCTTTTGTCCTTTTGGAAACAAGAACATAAAAATGTAATGTTTTTATATACTTTTTATTTCAAAAAATATCCAGAGAAGACATCATTCTAATGCTACAATACACCTAAATTTGTTTACATTTTTCATCCTATTTTTTTAGTATCCTGACTTATCTTTTATTGTCTGTTCTTGCATGTGAATATGCCGAGCTGTTCAGCACAGGGACTCTTTAAGTTGAAGTGTATCACCTTTCATTGCCTGATTTTATTTTTTTTAATGTTTTTTGTAGGGACAGTATAGCTACCACTCAGCTGGCTACAGGAAGAGAAGATGACTATGATGGCAGCACTGATGAGGAAAGTGAAAATTTAACACGGGTCTCATTGCCATCAGGTAAGACGGAATGTATTGTCTTTGGGGAATATCATGGACAGGCCAGTCTCTTTTTGTGAATAAACTTTAATGAAGACAAAATATTACCTGACAAATTGCTCTGTGACAAGCCAACCTGCAAGCCTTAAAAATATCTCTCTTGAAGCAGAGGATAATACTGGCATTTTCAAATTAGAGAGAGGAAGTTAAAAAGCATGTTGTACAAGTGAAGATACTGTAATTTCTTCCAAAATGACAAATTGCATACTTTGCAGAAGTAATGATGGTCTAACAATATCTAACCCATCAACAATTTCATTTTGAATTTTAGGAATCATGATGTATATGCAATGATTGCTAAAATATAAAATGTAGCTCCTGACAGTTTCCCTTTTTAAATGAAGGGAAAAGAGAGGAGGTTTAACAGCTATAAAAAGACCTGTGTGCATAAATGGAATAAAAATTTATTTATAGCAGAATTATTTTTAATTTTTCAGTGATTTTTCTTTTCTTCCATCATGAAGATGCCCAAGAAGCTTAATCTGACTAGTTTTTCCAGGACTACAGACTTGTAAAGCATATGGGATACAACAATTGCCTGTGCTACAATATAAGATATTTAATTGTGAATCATACAGATTTTGGCAAACTAGTAGGAGTATGCAGGACGAATGCTATCAAAGTTTTAAAACTGCATTGACACTTCCGTGATTGCTATTATAAACTTCCCACCAGGTCTGCAAAGTTTCCTGTGGATTCTCTCACTGGAGTTTTCTATTTCTACCATAGGTAAAGGTAATCAAGACAACAACTTATTGCAACTATTTACTGTGCATTCTGGGAACCAGAAGTGTTCAAGACCCTGATACCAGTGGTGTTCACCTTTGTAACTCATATGAGCCTGTTTGTTGTGGACTTTCTAATATAATATGAAGTAGGCAAATACAGAAAGTTGCATTTATGGAAAGAAAGCATTCTGCATTGTACTCTATATGTTCTTCTGTATGTTCAGTTCAGAATCCTTTCCAGTGGTCAGTTCAAATAGTGTGGGGAGAAATACTTCATGTTTAGCAAAAAGGCAAAGGAGGTGCAAGGTGTTGATTTTTTCGCTAGATTCATTAGGCCTTAAATAGCTCTGTGAGAGTTTTGAGTCAGGCATATGTATTTAAAAAATGAAAACAGCCCCCCACTGCTCTGCTCAGGCACTCATGAGGGACTGGATTGATCAATGTTACAGGAAAAAAATTGCATCTGTTCTGTTTTGGGTGGGGTTTTTTTGACTTGCAAACAAAAATGTGCTTTCTGTTGCCTTTGAGGCATACAATACCAAGAATTTCAGTCATGACTAAAGAGTTCTTTCAACTGCAAAATTTGCATATAATATGAAGACTATAAACTTAATCCTCTGGGTGAGATACTTGAGTTTTTCAGGGTAATTCTTGAATCTGCACAATGAGTATCACTTAGGTCAATTGATACTCTGCCTGTGTATACAGCTTTCTGTTTCTGTGAACAGCAGAAAAGGACAGATAGGAGCTGGATATCTTAGTGTGGTCTAGGATTTTCATGTGCAAAGAGGAGGTCTGAGGCAGACTATGTCTCTGTGAAGAAGGCCGTGATTCAGGGTTAAGTGGCATGAGAGGATAATGAAGCTCATAGCTATATCAAGCCTCAAGGACTGTAAGGCATAAAAGATAATACAGATGATGTTTGATTTTTACATTTTTTTTTCCTTCTGGATCTAGAATGTCATTGTGTGGGTAGCAAGAGTCAATAAGAATTAAAGGAGTTTTGAGGATGTTGGTGAGAGCCACACTCAGGAGAGACTATCATAATTTAAAACCTACTTTTGAGGAAAGTGAAGGCAAATGTGTACATGGACATATATACCCATGCTAAGCATGCATGTGCATGTGTGCATGTCCAAAACCAGCAAGAACCTGATCCTGGTTGTCTTAAATGAAAAGTAGGAACTGCAGGAGATGGCTGAAGAAAGTCACATGATATAAAGGCAAAGGATCTCAGGCCAGGATGTAGAAAGCCAAGGACCAGTGTTTGAGTCAGTTGAGAACATATGTGCAGATTCTATTGTGCAATGATAAAATAATCAGTAGTAATTGAAAAAGCAGCCATATTCAGTAAGTGCTTTTGTTCTAGGGCAAAACTAGATGTAGTTATGTCGCAATGTACTTTCATTCTAGCAACTAAGGGGAACATGAAACAGCAGCTTTGAAATCTGAATTTCTTAAAATTAACTGGTCAGGGTATGTTGAACTGCAGAGTTTAAAAAAGTGCCTAGATTTTTTTCCTAGCTACCAGTAATCATGTTTGGGTTGTGGTTTTGGTTTTTTTTTCTGGATTTCTTGGAGGATTTCTTGGACTTGTTTCTTGGGGATTTGGAAAAAAAATCTGAAATGGCACATTTGGTTATGGGTGTATCAGTCTTGTGTTGATCTGATACAAATGTTGGAAGAGGACTCAATGAAGAAAACTTTAAGAAAAGGTATAAGAATGGTTAATTCCAATCTTTGTAACGGTGCAGTAAATGGAAGTTGAAAACTAGGTACTCATGTCTTCTGTGATAAGATTAGCAGCTGGCTGATGAAGGTAAAATTAGTGAAGAGACTGACCTCTCTAAGATACCATGCTGCACCACATTTTAATCAGGAAATTGGAACATGTATTCTTAAATGAGGTAATATGTCTAACTCAAAATATAAATGGAAAGTTACCAGTCCTTGTATCTGAGGAGTTAAAATTAAAGATATATATAATGGATATAAATCAGTTTGCATTTTGTGATACACCAACTATGATCAAAACACATGCATCCTAACACAGTATAGTATGATGGATTTCCAGTCCTTTGACAGCTGTGCTTCCCTTGAGAATGCCAACAATGTCTCAAGCTTTGCTTTGCCTAGCTCCTTCTGCCACATGAAGCTGGGTCCCTCCAGGGGTTGTCATCACCTTCCCCACAGCGACCCATATGATGAAACTGCAGGGAAAGATGTTAGTTACTGAAATGTGTAATAGATATGAAGGAGGTAGGAGATAAGCAGTGGAAGAAATTGTTTTACAATTAATTATTGTTGTTTTCAGGTATGATGCTATTGTATGTGACTGCCTGTAGATAAAACAGGGCTACTGGGCACCAGTCCATCATCACTGGATTAAATGAAATTTTATGTTCTGTGTTTCTTGTATGGAGATACCTCATATTATGTATATCCTCAGACTTTAAGCGCTCATACTTTTCTGCGTGTTTGATGATGAGGACAGTTTTGAAATTGTTTCTAATAAACTTACTATAGAGCCTAAAATAAATAGGAGCAAGCATCTTGCAGTTTTCCACTGTTGTACTATGCAAATGTTCTCATACCCTTCATGCAAGTTCCTGCCTCGAGGATTACATGTTGTGCCTTCAGGAGGCTGTGGCCCTTTAAATTTAATTAATTCTCTTGTGTAGGCCAAACCACCGATGGCTTGATGCTGCTGGTTAATAAGCTTTGATCAAAGTTATCAAAAAAAATGCCTATTATTACAGCACCCGACTGGGCTGTGCAGTAAAAGTTCCATCTGTGAAGGCTTCTCTTTTAAAATCCAGTTTAAAGAGTTTGAGAACTTGGCCATTTTAATTGACTTCAGGCTTAAATTATAATTTTTTTTTTTGTCAAGCTATAATTGGAAATGGTTCATCCCAAGGCATAATCTCACGTCCCTTTTGCTTACAGCTGTAGATACTTTTTTTCCCTGAAATTTGATACTGACCTTTTTTCTTTTTCTTCACTCTAACCTGATGATTTTATGCCTGTGAAACACTTGCGGTTGCCAAACTATTTTCCTTCTGTATCATACCAGATGCCATGGTAAAAATGCATTTACAGCACAAATATCAATGTTTCATGTCCCCTTAAAAATCTTGTTACTAATATTGCGTACCTAACTAAGAGGGATTAATATGGTATTACTTTAATTATTAATATGAAAATTATTAAAACTGCTTATACCTCTGCATACAACTTTGTATTGTATGTGCTTTAGTATATAAGGTGATGTAGCTGAATTTTGTTGCCTCTGGATGAGACATCATTTATTCAGTGAAGTGAAATGATGATTATTGTAATGTAATAGATTTATGCTTTGCTGCTGATCTCTGTATCTGGTGAGTAATCAAAAAAGTGGAGTACCTAATGACCACATTGCAGGTTAGGTGCAGCAGCACTGACTGATAGGTTTATTGGTGTATTATCCAATGTGACATATGGAGGAACTTTATTTCCTTGGTGCACTGTAAAATTTCTTGAAGCGTAATTAAAGCTCTGCTTAAATCATCAAATTAACTGTCTTTATCAGATTTGTGTTAAATTGTAGGACTCCAATTTTAGAATTGTTTCTGGTCCAAGCTGGAAATTCCAGGCTTAATGCACTGCCGCGAATAGTGAATTTGGGTTTTTTCCACTTAAAACCAAAGCTAGTTTAGACAGTTCAACAATTGTGAACAACAGTGGACTTATTTCAGGGTTTTTTCTTTGGATTTAATATATCCATACAAAGAGGAACAAATAGCACAAGACCAAAACAGAACAAAATCAATATCAAAACTAAAGAAGTGGTACCTGTATGATTTTTGTCTTTGTCCATGAATAAACAAATTTTCCCCCTAAGGAAGTGAACTCTCCATGTATTTGTTCCTAGCTTGCTGGAATTTTAATATTCTCTTCAAAATGATTTGTGCGTTGCTACGGCCTGAGAGCCTGAAAGTATTAAACAGCATTACGAAGAGATAACAAATCCTTATTGTATTTATGTGGAGTACCAACATGTGCCTGTGGGACATGTAAAGGAAATGTAGAGCCTCCTTCTGTTCTTGCTCATATTTCACACCAATTTGACATGTACCCAACAGGCTGTAATTAGAGCAGAGCTGAACATAAATTCTGTAAGTCACGGTGCTTTTGCACTGAGCATGCACATTCTGATACTAGTTTCCTTTGCAAAATCCTGTAACTTGACCATCT